TAGGAGAAGGCCGCAGTGCGTCTGCTAGATACACCTATCGGGGATAAACGAAGGCCGCAGTGCGTCGTTTATTCGCAACCCAGTATAGACAAAAGATCGATCCGTCATCACGACGTCCCAGCGCCCGTCCGCGTGCACCCGCATCCCGCGCGTCTTCCCCAATGCCTGACGCGTATCATTTGCATGCTGTCCGCGACCCACCAGCGACCATGCGCGCGACCCAACCACTGCACCGACCCCAAGACCCGAGCAACCGTGTGACCGAGCTTCGTTGAAACTTTTGATTAGAATCGATTAAAGGCCAAATCTATCTGCCCATTAGATTGTGGTGTTCAGACGAACTACATCAACGATATTCTACACCGTCTCTGAGTCGGCAAAAATTTTAAAAGGTAAACGTCCATATCCTAACTATAGATTCCGCTGCGTTGGATTTATTTCAATAAGTTCAATACTGTGCATGTTGTTTGACGTTCCTCATAGAACCCAACACCTTGGACTGCGGCGCGGGTTTGCATGGGCTGTGCGGTTTGGGACACACCTGGACATGACCAGGAGCGATGAACACGGACAATGACATGCACAAGCAGACAAGTTGAACTAGTAGCTTGTGAGATCATCATTGGGCATCTTCTGCTGCGACTAGGGGCGTGCGGCGCGGGCGCTGGCTCGCGGCTGCAGATAAACTCCGACAGCGATGGATAGTGGCTCCGGCGGCTGAGGACAGTGGATAGCCGCCAAAAAATATATATATTAAAGGCTCGACAATATTGTACCTTAAAGCATTCTAATGTATGACCTAAATACTTATTTCCAAAAATCTCGGTAGGTAATTTTTCGGATCTCCCGAACTATCAATATTTATGTTTTCTTGAATTTTCTTGCTTTGGGAAGACTTTAAATTTGATCTCACACGCATAGGGGGAGAGGTTGGGACACGGTGTGTTTATAGACTATATTAGAGTCCTTAAGGAGGTGCTAAATATGGATTTATCCTACTAGGTTTAAGAAACATAATTATCATCCATCTCCTTTTCCTTCTAGAAACTATATTCCTCCTGACCCTAATTTACTTTCTAGAAGCCTCCATAGTCTCCTAACCTTAGTAATATTTAGAATGAATATTCCTCTTCTAAGGAAATTAAATAATAGAAAATAAGGTCTCAAAACGAGTACTTGAAAGCGAGGCCAAGAACCAAAAAGGTGGGGAGACAGTGCTGATGGCTATATCCATGCTTCCGTACTGGGTAGATGGATGATAGAATTAAATAATAAAACATTCTAGTAGATTAGTATTATTGCTTTTCCCATTTAGCTCCAATTTATTCAATAAATTCAAACCTTCATTTGATTAATAAATATTCATCTAATTGATCGATTTATCTCCCTATGTTTACGATATAACGCTCTGTTGGTGGTACAGACCGAACGGATAGCAGTAGGAAAAGAAAGGGAACCGGACGCCCCTGGGGTCGTACCGTTGCCGAACGGATGGGAGAGAATAAGCGAGATCTGTTTAATCATTACAAGAGCCAGCCGTACTGCGCGCATTAAATGCGGAGATACAGGAAAATCTCTTATCCGACGGCAAAGGAAAAATAGGGACGCGTGGCACGATCCGGACGATTCTCATAAATTGGGAAAAGATTACCAAGTACAATTAGCATTAAATACGGAATGACTAATATCTAAAAGTATCATGCAAAAGGAAATGTAAAAATCCCCAAGAGGGAAATGTAAAGTCCCAAAAACTTCCTATAAAAGAGAGGGGAGGACATCATTTAATGCAATGAGTAAATGCTCTCATTAATTACCTAATAAGTCACGGATAGACTGAGCATTCGGACCATCTGAATAAAACCGGATCACATACACAAACTCTATTCGTGCAGACCGAACAGAGTACACATCCTAGTGTACAGTTCGAACACATTGTTGGTCATTTTTAGACATCAACAATTGGTGCTAGATGGAGGGGCTATTCCAGCATGTCAAAGACAACTGCATCATCATCAAGCCAGAGTCGCCGGCAAGACCCACCGGAAGAAAGGGAGGATCGGCGAAAAAACCCAACCACAAGGACGGACTATTCAGCCTTTTTCAAAAACCCAAACTTCGTCAAGGGAATATCAAACCTGATAACACAAATCCGGCCCTCTACGTCCCAAGCACCTAAAACCCCAGCCAAAAAAGACCTTACCAACACCCTCAAAGGCAAGGGAACAAACGTTCGCGAAGAAACCACCCGGTCGCCCGGAAGCACGAAAGAAAAATCCACCACCCGGATGGAAAATGAACAGACGGACGAAAGTCGCTCGATCACGGATACTCGAATCCGAAACACCACCCGGTCGGTTTTCAGACGGCTGGGAAAAAACGTGGCCGATGACGACTTAAGGAGAACATTGACCAGAACGCGAAAGACTTAAGCAGAAGAAGATGAGACAAAGAGTCTCCAAAGAAGAATTGCCGAACTCGAAGCTCGACGATCGGCCCAAAAACGACTGGCCTCCACCGAACAGGATTTGACGGAAGTCCCTCTCAAACGAGCCCCGACAGCTTCAAGGGCATGAACGGAATCCAGCCCCGCCGAGCCCGAATCACCCCTAACATTTGATATTTTGCAGGAACAGCTGCCCGAGAAGATCAAGATCCCGCAGATTGGATTTTATGACGGAACATCTGACCCGGACACCCACCTGGGATTATACACATCATGGATGGACCTGCACGGAGCACCGGACGCCCTCCGCTGCCGGATGTTCTCATTAACCCTGGGAGAAAAAGCACAAAGATGGTACCATTCGCTCACCCCGCATTCGGTCGCTAAATGGACGCAATTAAAATCTATGTTTCGAGCCCATTTCATCGGATCCCAGGCGTGCCGAATTCCCAAAGAATCGATCACTCACATTATCCAGGGAGCAGACGAGAGCCTGAAGAATTACATCACTCGTTTCAACGAACGGGTACAAAACATGTAACCGTGCCATCAGGAGACCCTACTCGTTTCGGCATATTCGGGACTGAGACCAAACTCGATGTTCAAATGGACACTCTGCCAAAACAAACCTCAGACGTATCATGAATTCTTGATAAAAGCTCAACAACATATCATGGCAGAAGAAAACATGTCCGTCCCGATGTTCCCAGCCTTGAACGAGCAAACCACCAGAGCAAAGGAGTCCCGACCGAACAAGGAGTTTGTGAAGGACGGAAGAAGCTCCCAATATCGGGCCATGCAGAGGAAACATCACGAGGAACTCACGAACAGCTACCAGGGGGTGTATTCGGCCGGCGCGGCCGTGGTGTACGAAGAGTTGAAGAACAAGGGGATCATCCCAGATCCCAAACCGATCAGGGCCGATGAAGAAAATCTAGACAAGAGCCGATATTGTGCTTACCACAAAGCGCATGGCCACAATACCGACCAGTGTTGGAACTTAATATCTGCTTTGTTAAAACTAATTGATGATCCGCAGGTAAGAAGGTTCACTAGGATGGATACAGGCAATCGGAGGCCAAGAAACGATGAACGAATGAACCTAGGAGACGAACCTGATTTCAGACCGAATCCCCGGAGAGCGAATGAACACCACCATGAAATCTTGACGATCAGTCAGGAGCAACGAGGCGAGACGAGCGTATCCGGGGGAAGGAAAAGGACAGCGTCCAGACGAGACGAGGAGCATTTGGTTCACATCCCAATCCGAAGAAGTGGACCGCCCACAAGGGTTAATACGAGCCGGGAAAGTTCAAGCGTGTCAAGAAGACAGGTCAAGGCGTACGTCCGGAAAGCATACAGCACAGGACATCAAGTCAGCCGAGCGGAGGTCAACCGACACATCCCCATGCCCACAAATCTAATAATGTTTTCGGATGAGGATTCTCTCTCGTTCGACAATCCACACTCCGATGTGCTCGTAATCACAGCCCCCATTTTCCGAATCCCAGTCCATCGAATCATGGTGGACACCGGGGCGTACTCAAGTATCTTATACTGGACCGCATTCCTTAAAATGGGGATAGACCAAAGCGAACTGCGCCCATGCAACGACCGCATAACTGGATTCAACGGACAAGCAACCATCCCCGAAGGAGAAATCACATTACCAATCGAGCTCGGGGGGTCGGGTGCAAACGGACACAAGATCATGGAAACTTTCAAAGTGGTGAAACGACCAGCGAGTACAACGCCATCCTCGGACGAACGGCCTTATACAAGCTAAAGGCGGCCGTATCAATCTTCCACTATTCGATCAAATTCCCAACTGAGAATGGCACGGGAGTCCACTACGGCAACTAAAGGGAAGCAAGAGAGTGCATCATGGCGATCCCGTCATTGGAAATACACTCGGTCATGATGGTGAACGAGGAAAAGAAACCGATCGACGAACCAGTTGCAGAGCTCAAGCAGTCAGATGAGCAGGGAGTTTCGTCCGAACGGCCAGACAACAGTACGGCCAAAGGATTTACGAACGGACGAAAGAGGATGAGAGAAAAGCCGGTCGAGAGCCCAGAAGAGGGAGACGAGTACCCTATGCCGACGTCATCAAGCGCAAACACGCTTTCGCTCCCGAGAGACGAACAGAGCGAAAAAGAATCGGAGATCGATCGATCCACCCGAGAGGAGAACGATCCGTGCAAAGAGGAGGATCGAACGATAGACCGGGGACGCCGACCAGGGAAAGAACCGATCGAAGAAAAAGACGAACTGGACCCCCGAGATCAATTCAAAGGAAAGAAACCCGAACGGGCCGAACCAAGCGAAGACACGGAAATAATCTACCTTGATGAACCAGCCTGCACCAAGTCACTGCGCATCGGATGCAACATAGGCGAACCCATCCGGTCCAGGTTAATTTCTTTTCTAATCGAAAACGCAGATGTCTTCGCCTGGACGCATGAGGATATGGTGGGGATCGATCCAAACTTAGCATGTCATAGCCTTCGGATTGACCGAACGGTAAAGCCAATCGTGCAGAAGAGAAGGAAGTTGGGACCCGAACGACAAGGAGCGCTTGAGGAGGAAGTAATAAAACTGATTGATAACAGGTTCGTTCGCGAAGCCAAGTACCCAGTTTGGGTGTCCAATCCGGTCTTGGTAAAGAAGAGCAGCGGAACGTGGCGACTATGCGTCGACTTCAGCGATCTCAATCGGGCCTGCCCCAAAGACAGTTATCCGTTGCCCAGCATCGACTACATGGTAGATGCGACATCCAGACACGAACTCATGAGCTTCATGGACGCCTATTCGGGATATCACCAGATCCCGATGGACCCGAACGATGAAGAACACACATTATTCTATTCGGCCAGAGGACTCTACTGCTACACCATGATGCCATTCGGTCTCAAAAATGCCGGAGCAACCTATCAGAGGCTCGTGAATAAGATGTTTGCAGATCAAATCGGACGAACTATGGAAGTTTACGTGGATGATATGCTTGTTAAATCTGTTTTTGCGAACGATCATGTGTCACATCTTAATGAAATGTTTTCTATTTTGCGTGATTACTCCATGGTGCTAAATACCAAAAAATGTACATTCGGGGTATGTTCGGGTAAGTTTTTGGGATACATAGTTAGTCAAAGGGGAATCGAAGCAAACCCCAACAAAATTAAAGCAATACTCAAACTAAAACCCCCTAGGTCGATAAGAGAAATGCAAAGTATAACGGGTAGATTAGCGGCTTTAAGCCGATTCATATCAAAGTCCACGGACAAATGTAAACCCTTTTTCGAGGCTATTAAAAGGAATAAAAAATTCGAGTGGACGGACGAATGCCAAAATACGCTGGACAGCATCAAGGAGACACTCGTTCGGCCCCCAGTCCTCCAAAAGCCGAACCCTGGAGAGATGTTGTATCTATACCTCGGAGTTACCCCGACCGCGATAAGCGCCATACTCGTTCGGGAGGAGAATCTGAATCAACATCCGATCTATTACACAAGCAAGGCATTACATGAAGCGGAGGTCCGTTACCCACAGATCGAGAAGTTAATCTTCGCCCTAGTAACGACTTCGAGGAAACTCAGGCCGTATTTCCTTGAACACCGGGTGATCGTCTGGTCAGCCTATCCTATCCGACAAATTCTCCACAAGCCTGATACGTCGGGACGAATGATCAAGTGGGCCGTAGAGCATGGGCAGTTCGATCTCCAATATAAACCGCGGACGGCGATAAAGGGACAAGCACTGT